AAGTTTTTACGGCTTAATTTTAGGGCTTAGCTTGAGCATAGCTTGGGCATCGTCACTAGGCGTGGTTTAGGCTTATCTCGAAGCTTAGCTTAGGCTAGCCTCAAAGCTAGTGATAGTCAGCTTTAACCAATTTTGTCTCTAGGCCCTACGCGGAGGAAAAGCTGTCCCTTGCCCGAAAAAGACGAAAGCTGTACCGCCATTGATGTTTGGGCAATCGTCAAATTTTATGCGGATACCAAGCAAGTTTTGTACGATCAAAAAGTCTAAAGGTATGTCGGCAAGATAGCAGAGAGCATTTGCGTGAACACACGTATTCGAAATGTGCAATTCACTGTTGTAAAGATCCAATTTTCAACCTGATTTTTCAGCTCCAACTCCTTCCTGATTAACGTCGGCGATGGGCTGCACGTCGCTTTCAAGGCTTGACCCAATTTGTAGGAATCAAACTACATTGTCGTGCTCGAATAAACGATCTATGTCCCGGACGGCCTCATATACATTACAAAGTATAGAAATTTGTCATCACTGATTCGAGCTCGATCCATCGGCTTCTTCGAATATGATCCTATTTTTTATGAATCTCTCTCAAACGCAACATCTAACGCATCATTTCCGGTACAATATCCCCGGTCCAAGGAAATGGTGATAAGGGACAAAAGGAGGATGGTAGACCAAAATTGTAAAAAGGAGAGAGTAGGAGAAAGAGACAGAGAGAGAGACAGAGAGAGAGAGGGACTGACAGAGATAGAGAGAGAGAGAGAGAGAGAGAGAGAGAGAGAGAGGGAGAGCGAGAAAGCAGAGAGAGCGAGAAATAGATCGGAGAGAGAGAGGGAAACGGGACGGGACAGAGAGAGAGAGAGAGAGAAAAGAGAGAGAGAGAGAGCTGGAAAGTGAGCGAGAGAGAGAGTAGTAGTAGGAAGTGGGAGCGAGAGAGAGCTGGAAAGTGAGCGAGACAGGCAGATAGGCAGACAGACCGTGATGATCATCCTAAAAAAGGACAGATCCAGAGATGCGTTGATTTCTAACCAAATCGAAGAGTATAAAGGTGCAGTGGCAAACGCAACATCAGGCGCCGCTTTATTTGAGTTTCCATAGCGTGCATCCTGGCATTTCGCTACTAGCTGTCCTGGCTGGTCCAAGTTCAATACAACCTGGCGATTTATGGAAGTTTGAACTGTCTGGTCCTCGGGCGGCCTGGTGAGGTACATTTCTCCGCCTCATGACCACCACCTAGTACCACCTCGTAAGAAACCCCAAAAAATTAGTATTTAGAACTGACTAAGAATGCGCTAAAAAGTGTTGTACCATCAGATAAGAATCTATGAAAAATTCCATGCAATTTGGCGGGAAATAATAGCCCCATCCACCTGTCATTCAACCCCCTCCTTGTCAGGTACATACCCTTCCCTTCATCACCCCCAACCCCTCCCCTCCATCGCCGCCCGGTTAGCTCAGTCGGTAGAGCACCAGACTCTTAATCTGGTTGTCGCGGGTTCGAGCCCCGCATTGGGCTTATTTTTTGCTTTTTGGCCAAAAAGTGCATAATGAGTAGCGAAATCACCTAAACGCATTTTCAGAAACCAGCGCCACTTCTACACCGTAATTTTGGATGTGCTCAACGACAACTTGCCGGGTTCCGTCGTGGAGGCCATCCAATACATGTCATCACCAGGGATTATTATACCGACTTTGCTGCTTTTACTGTAGGCTACAAGCTACAAAAACATGTCAAATTCATTTAGCTTGATCATCTACTTCTTATTCGCGCTTGTCAGAGGGTTAAAAGAAGCTAACCACGATTTGACGAAGCAGCTTACTCAGGTAAGAAAAAGACACGTTAAAAAGTTATTTTTCCAGGAACGTACCGAGGAAAAGAAGAAAATCTTTGAATTGGCTGGTGGGCGGAAGCAGAGGGAACAGAAACTGCTAGAGAGACGGAAGAAAAATCTGGAGAAACGGACGAACGCCATCAAAACGTACAGCTCGGATGAGGAATCGCATCGGATATCAAAGATGTCGAACAATTCGGCTAGGCATTTTGTGCCTTCACTGGGGTGTGTTTTCGTTTCCTCTTTCTCTCTCCCTCTTTCTCACTGTCTCGATTTTTCATTCTCGGTTTAATCCGGTGGCTTGTCTTTCTCTTGCTCACTCTTTTTCTCTAGCTCTCTTTTTCTTGCTTTCGTTCCTCCCGTTCTCTCGCTCGCTCTCTCTCACTCTCCCGCTCTCTCTCTCTCTCTCTCTCTCTCTCTCTCTCTTTCTCCCTCTAGCTCTCCAGGCTAATTTCTTACCTCTTCAGAAGTGTCTCCGAGGTCGACGGCACCGACGGCGAGGACGAGTTTGAAAAGGAAGAACAACGAGAAGAAGCCGCCGCCCAACCCGTGAAACTCACCTGGAAACAAAATTTCCTCGTCTGCATCGGGCTGGCTGACAGGAGGGAGTACGCCCGGCGACCCATATTGTAACCAATTTTCAGTTGTTTGTGTTGTCACTAACTCGCTATCACTCGATTTGCCCTAATTAGCAAAGAAACTTAACCCGAAACGAATTGTTTAATTTTAGCTACGATCCGAGGACAGATGACGAGGAGGAAGAGGATGAAGATCGGGATATCGAAGCTCAAAATCGGCATTCTGGATTTTATACGTCGCCCGATGAGGATCAGCATGATATTGGAAATTCGTAAGTTTAAATGGGTCTAGAAAAAACATATTTCAAGCATCCTTTATCCAAGAATTTGCCACTTAAAATTTTGTGATTCCAGCGATGGAGAACGTCGAAACCTGCTCCACCCCGAAATGTACGTCACCTCGGCCGTCGGAAGCAAACGATCGCCGTCGCATTCTGGATCTAAGTAAGCTGAATGACGAGAGAGAGAGAGAGAGAGGGCTAGAAAATATCCAAATTTAGATCTCCAAGACACTCTCCAAGGACGTCAAGATCTCCTCGTCACTCCAGGTCACCCAGAAATGGATCGAACCTCGTGGAAGAGGATGATTACAGGTAAAAAATACTAACCGATGCCTCAAGATCAGTTACGCGAAAAAATGTGTTGCGGAGTGGCTAGCCATACTAAAGGTAGTCTTAAACTCGTAGTAAAAATAATAAAGCGCATTGTAGCGCAGTGTATCGTTGTGTACCATTGCGTATCGTAACGTAGCGCATTGTAGCATAGCCAATAGTATCGTAAGGTAATTTATTTTGCTGCATGTTATGTATGCAATCGGATCGGGCCGGAGCATATCGTATAATATCCTACGAAAGAGATGTACCGTGACCTGTCCTACCCTATCGTATTTTGTCGTATCGGAGCGTAGCGTAGCATAACGCCTCCTACCGCATCGTAATGTACAGTATGCTGACGTCATCTAACGCTTTTCAGCGCTCGGGACGAGTCCTACAAGACGGCTTCTCGTGGCTCTTCCCGACTTCGCGATTTGCAACAGCAAGATGATAGCTCGGACAGGTACCTTTTCAGCCCGAAAAAGTCAAAGCATCCATTAGAAGCTCGACGCCAAACTCAAGTGGTCGCGACTTGACAACACCTATTGTCGATCCGGCTTTGGCCTTTAGGAGCAAGGCGTAAGGATGCTTAAGATTTTTTGGGTATAATTTGCGTATTTTTAGCTCCTCCAAGCCACGGCTGATCGAGAATCCGGCATTCGGGTGCGATTTGCATAACTACCGAATGCCGGAAGATGTTGATAGACAATCGAGAAGGTAGGAAAACTTTGTAACGGTTGATAAAACCACTTTTTGGGTTTCCGAAAACCAGGAAACAATTATTTCAAAGGCATTAGTCGACGAGAACTATGGTTTTTTTAGCTCCGGCAGTTCCTCTGTCTCCCAATCCCACTCGCTACCACCTGGAGTCGAAATTCGTGAAGTCGCACCACAGCCATCATCTTCGAGACGTTCATCAAGGTCTTCGAATAGCTATGGAAGAGCTGCAACTTCACTGTTGGAGCCGGTGCTAGCAAATGCTAGAAGGATGTAAGCTTGAAAAACAAGTTGCGGTTTTCGAGAAGAGAGAGAGAGAGAGAGAGAGAGAGAGAGAGAGAGAGACCCCCTTTAAACCCGGATTTTCAGCAGTAACGAGGACTATTCACCATCACCAAGCCGTCACACCGATTTCCAAAGTTTCGACGAGCCATCCCCGAGCGCTGATCTGCTACAGAATTCACCCCTGGCGCAGCTGTACGCAAATCCGCACAATAGCTACACCTCTGCGATGATGAGCCCGATAATGGCTGACTACTCTCTGTTTGGCGGGGCTACTACGGAGGATAGTGAATCGAACGATGAGCATACACATCTACTACCGATGACGTAAGTAAACAGACCGTAAAAACGTAGAAAGAGAAATTCCGTAAAACGCCTAAATTAACCTGTCGTAACGTGTTGATCGAATCGTCACAATCGCCTACGTCTCCTACCACTTTTCAGACATGATAAATGTTTAGAACAAGTAGCGGCAGCTCGGGAGGTAAAGGCCGTATGAAGGCGTCTATCGGGTCTGGAATTCGCCCACCACGCTTCAGAATCTCGACGTCGCCTCCAAGGAAGCGGCTTGAAGAGGTACGCTCCATCGGACAACCATTTACACTAGGAGATTCTTTCGACAATACTCTGAACTCTGATTTTTCAGGATTCCGACAGCTCTGCCCGTCGCTTCGAGATGAGAATCGATGAGGAGGGCGGGGCCAGAAGATCAAGATGGCCTGGCCCGTCGAGCCATGATAGTACCGTATCCCCGGATCGTGGGTATTCGAGGGGACGGGGATCCACACAAGACGCTTCGCCAAGATCTTCTGAACGATCGCCGTCAACGGGGATTCGGAAAAATGTTACGCATACCGTCGTTTAGTATTTTTATCGATTTTAAAGGGGCCTCGCCAGAAAGGGTTTGAGAAGTAGAGAAAGCGATAGTCAGAAAGAAAGAGGTAAAGAGAGAAGGTGATAGAAAGCGCGTAAGCAAAACCTCGCTGTCAATTTCCCTTTAAAATGCATTTCAATCATAAAAATCGAAAACTTTTGCAATTTATCAAAGGTTTTTATTCTGCCTATGATAAATTACGAAATTTTGCGTCTTTTGTTTCTTTTTGTACATTCCACCGCTAGCCCCATTTTGCCAATTCTTACGCTTGCCATTGTCCGATTGTCACTTTGCCAATTTTCCTTTTCCAGACTTTTCTAATTTTCATTTTTTTATCGAAAGCTTTATTTTTTGATTCTGCCGATCCGGTGAATGTATTCAGCCATATTATAACATTCTTTTAAGCCTATCCTGATGCATATAACCTACCCTATTTGCCTTATAATCGTCAGTTTCACGATTTTTTTTATTATCACGATGTTTTGACAAATTTCTTTCCGTCTTTCGCCATATCCTCGATGCTGTGTGTGCCTTTTTGTTTGATAAAGCCTCATGAAAATTATAGAATTGCTGTTTTTGGAGAGTACTAATATTTAGAGAACGCCAAAATCTCGACATCCAAAATACCGGCCGTCAAAATCCCGATAGATCAAAATTCCGACAGCGATAATCGCGACAATTCTTTGAAAAGGGAGGTTATTATGTTACTGTCAGGATTCTGGTTGGAATTCAGTCAAATCTACTCCAAAAGCCAGGGGATAGCATTTTTAGCCTGTTTTTCGTTGGAACCCCGAAAAGTGGCACGGACAGATTATCCTTATTTATTGGTTCAGGCAGGGTTTTATCAGTCAGACAGACTCCCATAGGCATTGGGTTTATAAAGCCGTTCATAGACGAGGCTCTCTTTTTTCGTTTTCCTTTTTGATGACTAGAAAACCCTATCTTTCATCCGGGCACTTTCAAAAATGGCAGGCTAGCAGGAACGTTTTGGAAATTGGCTTTTCAATTTCTAGCCGGTCCCAAAAACGATGGATTGAGGAGTTTTAAAGTGTTCTCACACAAAGGATTGTGGAAACCTTTGGAAACCCCCGAAAAAGGAGATATCACATTTTTAAGGCAAGCTAGCAGAGACTATTTAATGAATTGGGTATTTTTCTTGGAATCTCGATGAAGCAATCGCTTGCAGCTAGCAGTGATATACGTCTAATTTTTTGAGGCTGTCAATATCAAGGTAGTATCAAAGTATTTTCAAGCAATCTAGCAGCGATCATTGTGGAACCGCTTCTTTTTTTGGGCCGAATTAAAAGGGAAACTAGCAGAGATAAATGGGAATGTGGACGGTGTAGCCTGTTGTTAATAAAATCATGGAAAGGAAAGACTTGAGCCCATTCAGATAAATTTCCAATTGCTATTCCTAGTCAAAATAGGCGATCCATCTCAAAGTCCAGCCCACGCATTCCATCCTGCTAGCTAGGCTCCGCCCCTTCGAAAACGCCAACAACCTCCCCACATCTGGGTGCACGTCGAGCAATAGATCGGCAACCATATTCCGGTACATTAGATGTACCTTGTGACTGGGGTACCTGGGCCTCTTTCTCTCGCGCTATCACTCTCTCTCTCTCTCTCTCTCCTCTCTCTCTCTCTCTCTCTCTACCTCTCTCCCCTCTCGCCAAATGTTCCTCAAATATTCGCTGGGTGACCGGATCGGGAAAACAAGTCGGCGAAAAGCGGAAAGCACGAAAGAGGGAAAGAGGGGGAAGGAAGGGGATGATTCCCTACCCAAATCAGCACCAAAGTTCTGCAAAGAACCGCACCAAAATGTGCAGAATATAACGCGGGTGATGCGATAGTTTCTGCGGCTTGTCTGGCTGACTTTTTCCGTAGTTGCTTGCAATCTTTAGAAATTCGCCATGTGTAAAATTATTGTTTTTAATCTTTACAGCCAAAAATGCCAGATTTTTAAAAACCTGCCTTTTATTTTATGAAAATTTTAGCAGTATTTTTCTGGTTCTCCGTTTGTTTGGAAAGCAAGAATTTATTGAAAAAGAAAACGGTAGGGACGCCATTTTTTTGCTGTTTCACTGGAATTTACCGCTTTTCGATTGATTTTTTGGATCAGCACGTTGAATGGAACGTACTTTTGAAATTTGTGTCTGCAACGGTTCTTATCGATTTCTGTCATGTTACTTTTCTAGGAAAATTTGCGATTTTTCCAAATTACTAACTCAATCTGTAAATCTGTAAATCCGTGGGGTCAAAGTTCTGTAAATCCCCTCTAAAAAGCACAAATTTTCCCAGAAATGTTCCTAAAATGGTAGAAAGTTACCCGACCTTTTCGTTGTTGGGCGCTGTAAAGTAATAGGGTGGGTGGGGAAGGACTTTGCTCCCAGAATTCGCTGCTATACTCGAGTAAAACGTAGCCAAATTGTTGGTTTTTTTCGTGGAATGTGAGGGGGATGCCGCGGAAATTTTTTATGAGCCCAATTATTTGTCATGTTGAGTCGAGCTTTTTTCTATGTTTTCTTTATAAAAACCTGTAGAATGTGCCTAATTTAAATTAGTTATATTAAATAAAAACTTTTTATACCTTAGACGTTTTTCACCATTTTAAACCTCTAACGTTGTTTCTACATCACTGTCTACGATCGTCACAAAATTAGATGCATTCAAAGTTGTGCCGCCAATTTCAAGGCACCTTTCCATGCACTTTCGTGTTTTTGCTTTTTTGGGGGTATTTACCTCCTTCTTTTTCATCTCTCGAAAGATTACGCTATTTTTATTCGATTTCGGGGAAAGCAGTTGCAAAAACATGAATTTACCGTTTGAGTTTGTTACTTTCTTAAAAAACCTTGCAAAAAATGTTTCCTTAATAATTTTCTCGATTTTCAGATCACCTAAAAATGCCGCCACAGCAAGTCGTCTCCAAAAGCTACAACAAGCATGAATGTCCCGTGTCGGATTATTGTAATCAGGTAGAAAAGTATACTTGACGTTAAAAATGATACCTTTCAGCTAACGATCCAGCAGGAGCCAGTCCAGATTGAGCTCCAAAGGGAAACGCTAGCCAAGCACGAGATGGGCAGGATGCTTGGGGCACCGGAAGTATGTCTAGTTTCTTTCACAGGGCAGGCTGGCAGAGAAACTTTGAGGTTTAGCGACTCTTAGGGCAATCTAGCAAAGAAACCTTAGGAATACAGTCATTTTCCGAATTAAAATATGTAAGTTGCTTTTCTCGGTATTGACATTCGGCCAGCACTTCATCAGGCTGATCAAGGGCAAGAAGGCACTAGATGTTGGTAAGTAAAGCTGCAGCTGCGAGAGAGAGAGAGAGAGAGAGAGAGAGAGAGAGAGAGAGAGAGAGAGAGCCAGTGAGAGGCATGAAACACGATTTTTGGAACCGAAAAATCCTCAAGCTTTTTAGGGACCTTCACCGGCGGTTCAGCTCTTGCCTGGGCGTTGGCGTTACCTGCAGACGGACAGGTATTTATTCACCCTAAAATTTGATTCTTTTAAAATGTAGGTAGTTTCAATGGATGTCAGCCACGCGGCCTTGAATTCTATTGGAAAGCCGATTCTCCAAAAAGCACCTGAAGCTTTGAAGAAGATTGACTTCAGATTGGCACCGGCTTTGGAAACGCTAGGTGAGAGAGAGAGAGACCGAGGGGAGAGAGAGACCGTGGGGAGAGAGAGAGAGAGACGAGGGTAGAGTTTTAGATAGCCTTATTGCCAGTGGAGCTTCCGGAACTTTCGATTTTGCCTTCATCGATGCCGACAAAACGGCATATCCGGAATATTACGCAAAAACCATGACTCTTCTTAGAAGCGGAGGCGTTATTCTTGTTGATAATGTAGGTTTTTACGGCTTAGTTTAGGCTTACAAGGAGTGCTTTTTTTGAGTCATCGGCAAAACCTTACGAGACCTAGATCATTCGATAGAGCATTCGATTCTGAACAAAACCCCGTTGTTCTTTTTTGCAGAATGGCTATCCCTGATTTTATAAAATTTTAAAACTGCACCCAAAAGCCTCTCTTTTGGCTCGAAAGGCACTCATGGTAAGAGACGGTCACTAGTATTTTAATTTTATAAAATCATGGATAGCCATTCTGCAAAAAAGAACAACGGGGTTTTGTTCAGAATCGAATTCTCTACCGAATGAGCTAGGCCTCGTAAGGTTTTGCCGATGACTCAAAAAAAGCACTCCTTGTTAGCTTCGGCATAGCTTGGGTATAGTCTAGACGTGGCTTAGGCTTGGCTCAAGCTTAGCTTAGCCTTAGCTAAGGCTTAGCCTCAAAGCCAGTGATAGTCAGCTTGAAACAATTTTGTCTCTAGGCCCTACGCGGAGGAAAAGTTGCCCTGCCCGAAAAAGACGAAAGCTGCACCGCCATTGATGCTTGCAATCGTCAAATTTTTGCGGATACCAAGTAAGTTTTGTACGTTCAAAAAGTCTAAAGGTATGTCGGCAAGATAGCAGAGAGCATTTGCGTGAACACACCTGTTCGAAATGTGCAATTCACGGTGTAAATATCCAATTTTTCAACCTGATTTTTCAGCTCCAACTCCTTCCTGATTAACGTCGGCGATGGGCTGCACGTCGCTTTCAAGGCTTGACCCAATTTGCATGAATTAAACTACATTGTCGTGCTCGAATAAACGATCTATGTCCTGGACGGCCTTAATTTTTGTACACTACAAAGTATGGTAATAATTTGTCATCACCGATTGGAACTCGACTCTCGGCTTCTTCGAATATGATCCCATTTTTTATGAATCTCTCTCAAACGCAACATCTACCGCATCATTGCCGGTACAATATCCCCGGTCCAAGGAAACGGTGATAAACGTCAAGAAGGAGGATGGTAGACCAAAATTGTAAAAAGGAGATAGTAGGAGAAAGAGACAGAGAGAGAGAGAGAGAGAGAGAGAGAGAGAGAGAGAGAGAGAGAGAGAGAGAGAGAGAGAGAGAGAGAGAGAGAGAGAGAGACAGAGAGAGAAGGGAAAAGGGGAGAGAGAGAGAGAGAGAGAGAGAGAGAGAGCGAAAGAGACGGACTGACAAGGAGAGAGAGATAGAGAGAGAGAGAGAGAGAAAGAGAGAGCGAGAAAGAGCGAGAGAGAGAGAGAGAGAGAGGAGAGAGAGAGAGAGAGAGAGAGAGAGAGAGAGCTGGAAAGTGAGCGAGACAGGCAGTTAGGCAGACAGACCGTGATGATAATCCTAAAAAAGGACAGATCCAGAGATGCGTTGATTTTTAACCAAATCGAAGAGTAGAAAGGTGCAGTGATAAATGCAACATCAGGCCCCGCCTTATTTGAGTTTCCATAGCGGGTGTCCTAGGATTTTGCTCCTAGATGTCTTGGCTGTCCAAGTTCAACAACCTGGTGATTTATGGGGGTTTGAATTGTCGGGTTTCGGGCGGCCTGGTGAGGTACATTTCTCCGCCTCTATGACCGCTATGTCCAAACGCGTTTCAACGTTAAAATTCTCTTAAAGGCAGGGGCAAGGCATGTCCGAAGATTTTCCTGGTTATGGACTCATACTAGATTTTTCAGTAATTTGGACGGCCAAGCGTTGGTCGCGTTAGTTTTTCACTCAGCCAATACGGTAGTTGATGGCTAAGAAAATCCATAGGGGTGCCTTGTGCGTGCCCTAAATTAGGGCCGATTTTTTCCAAGTTCTATCCTCATATCTCTCTCTCGCTCTTTCTAGCTCCCTCTCTCTCACGGTCTCTAGCTTTTTTTAGATATCTCTCTTTCCTCGCTTTTTCCCTTTTGCTTTCTCTCGTGTCGCTGGGACCTTAAACAAAATATAGCAGTAGATTATATTTTGAAGCTCTGAATTTCGCCATCCTTTTCTAACAATTTTTCTTTGCACATCTGCCCGGACCATGTTCGGAAACATTTTCCCCCGGTTTGACCTTGCCCCGCGTGCAGTTGACAGGTTGAGAAAAAGAAAGAGAGATGGAGAGAGAGCGAGAGGGTGAGAGAAAGAGAGAGAGAGAGAGAGAGAGAGAGAGAGAGAGAGAGAGAAAGAGAGAGAGAAAGAGAGAGAGAGAGCTCAGAAAAACAAACTGCTCTGTTGCAACACCCAGGCAGGCAAGGGGTGGCTGCGTAAAAAGAGCAAATAAAAAGGGCTCTGGTCCGGCTGGCGAGTCCATTTTTCTCAAGCGGCATTTCAAGTTCAACGTGTCCTTAAGATTTGATTGGATTTCTTTCTTAAGGCATTCAGTTTCCAACCCAGCAATTTTCCAGGTGTTGTCGAGTTTTATAACGTTTTTGACCAGATTTCAGGTGAAATTCAAGGCATTTTACGCTCCTAAAAATTTTAAAATATGTTCAAATTATGAAGTGTTTTTGATACCGTAAAATTGTAATTTGTTTTTCTAGGGAAAATCAATGAGTTCTCGTGTTTATCTCGGACTATTTGGCTCAAAAAAGGTCGTGAGTCACCGGCTAAAAAAGAGTTTCGTATCGCTTCCTTTCCCACAACATCAGCCCGCAGTCGGCTCGATCGCCACGATTTCGAAAACACATTTTATGGCGGCCCTGAGAAACAGTGGATCATTTCAATTTATCACTTTTTCTGGGCTTCCTCTGCTTCTTATTCTCTTCTGCTTCTATACAAAATGTGTGCCTTTGTAACTTGATACCTCACGCCTAGGGCCAGATACTTATCATTTACTAGCCCCTGGGGTTCAAAACATTACGGCAACTCGACAGCGCCTTATCATATCAGCGTCACAAGCTACAGATAGACTTTGCATCGGCGCGTACAGTTTGATAACTGTTGAGAACGTCCTTCAAGTTTGGAACGATTAAATAAAGCTAAAAAATTCTAATTTTCCAGCTTTTTAACCTTGCAATACAAACCAAAAATTTTTGAATTGGATGTCGCTGATAAATAACTATCGAGATGTTTTTGTCATTCAGAAAAACGCGCAGAACTGTGTTTTCTGCAAAAACGATTTCTCCATTGCCATACCATCTTTTCCTTGTTCTGGATTTCTCTAGGAATTTGAATATCCCTAATCGATTTCCCAATGTTCTCTACGTGTCTGCGCTGGTTATCTTAAATCCCAGATTAGTGCTGCTAGCCTTCGCCAAAAGCTAAAATCAATTATTTTTGAATTTAGTGAAACTTGACCAAAAGCGAAAGAAAACGCGTTTTTCGCTAATGCTAATTCTCCAAATTTCTAAATGGATAATTTGTATAAAAATCTGGAACGAATATGCATCAAAATTAACGGCAGTAACGGCCGATTTTAGAAATAGCACCCTGATGCTTACCAGCCTCGAAAAAACATGATTATGTATTTTGTGACGGGGCGGTCATCTCAGAATGTCAGGATTCCCCTGCCGATCCGTGTCTCTAGTTTCTGATTCGATCGAAAAGCACTGGCTTATCTCAGCGTTTCTAGCTATGGCCGGGGCCCAGATGGCTTTTTGTCAGCGTCTCCGGGGCGATTTATAAGGTTCCAGGATTTTACGCTGGGCGCCGGAAGTTTGCGCGAGCTTTTGATCACGTGTTTTCACTGCAAATTTTCGATTAATATATTTTTAAAGACATTATGACGAAAACATACTTTAAGAAGTGTTTCATATGTATATTTCGGCTTCTCTTATTGTTTCTGACAACTTTTCAACGTCAAAATTCTCCTTTTCGCAGAAATCATGTCCGGAACCGTCTCCAAGAGCTACTACGAGCACGATGATAAGGTCATCGACTACTGTAACAAGGTATCGGAGTCATATTGCTAAAAATTAATACTAACAATTTTAGCTGACTATCAAGCTCCACCCAATGCAGCAGGAGCTCCAGGACTCAACCCTAGCCAACCACAAAATGTCGGTCATGCTCGGAGCCCCGGAAGTTCTCACGATCGGCCAGAACTTCCTGAAGTTGATCCACGCCAAGAAGGTGCTGGATATTGGTAAGTCAGTGAGAGAGAGAGTGAGAGAGAGAAAGAAAGAGTGAGAGAGGGCGAGAGAGATACAGAGTGAGAAAGAGCGAGAGAAGAGGGAGAGCGCGAGTAAGTGAGAGAGAGAGAATGAGATAAAGAGAGAGCGAGATAGCTAAAATTAACGTGACTTCCGTATTTCAGGAACCTTCACCGGTGCCTCGGCCCTCGCCTGGGCCCTTGCCCTCCCCGACGATGGCCAGGTCATCTCCATGGATGTCGACAGCTCGGCTCTCGATCAAATCGGCCGCCCGGTCATTGAGAAGTGCCCAAAAACCGCGAAGAAGATCAAGTTCCACACCGAGTCGGCCATTGATACGCTCGGTAGGTTAAAGGGAGCTTTTTTGGAAGAAATACCTTACGCAGTAAGGATTCACCGGTGGCAAAACAATTTCCAAATTTCCAAATTTTCAAAGTGATGTGGGTTATTTTATAGAGAACGTTGCCGAATGAAATGTACCGGTTCCTTTTTCTAAAATTTCGAAACTTTATACCCATCAAAAATTGCTGATTTGTGGGTTTTTTAGCGTTAAATTTTTCATAATTTTTGGGCATTCGTTATTCTACAAAAACGCTAACTATATTCGGAATCAGCGCAAAATTCTGCACAGGATAAGCTTGGTCCTATCCCAAAGTCCGGACGACACTCAAAAACGTCTCCGTGTGAGCCTTTTCTTATCCAAATTCAACGACTAAAACCCATAAAAATATAAAAATGCATCTTCTAAAAACGTTCATCTATTGTCAGACCGCCTGATCGCCGACGGTCAATCCGGAACCTTCGATTTCTCCTTCATCGATGCCGACAAGGTCAACTACTCCAACTACTACGACAAAAGCCTGCAGCTCCTGAAGCCCGGCGGTGTCATCTTGGTTGATAATGTGAGCCCATCACTTTTTGATAATCTTCGAATACGTGATCCGTTTTTAGTATACTTTCAGTTTTCAGGCCCTGTGGAGCGGAAGCGTGACAAAGGAGAACAAGGACGAATCGACGAAAGCCATCGACGCCTGCAATCAGCACATCAGCCAGGACCCCAAGTCGAACTCTTTCCTTGTCAACACGGGCGATGGTCTCCATGTTGCGTTCAAGATTTGAATCCTTTACAAATTTCGTGGCGTGTGGGTTTTGTGCGACTGCCTGTATGAATAAATTTTATGCTATGAAGACAACGAGACCACTTTACAAACAATGGTTTGATAGAAGGTGCCAGTGGAATAATTGTAGTTTGACTCACAAGAGGCTTCAGCTCCCAGTCCTGCGTTTTCGACGTCCTCGATTGTTAATGTTAAATTGGATTCATTCAAAAAGTTAATTTAATAAATTTTATAAATTCAGGATTTTGTCCTGATGAGTCATGCGCTTGAGCTAATTTTCAGATGCAACAGAAACGGTGACAGGCCTCCCACTGATAAGACGGGCTGAAAAAAATGGGGAATTCGCATTGCCACTTTACGTTTTTCGACAAATAAAAGCTGTCGGCATTTCTAAGCAAGTTTTGTTTAGCGCCGCACGAACTCAGGCGGATAGTTGATTAACTCTAACGGATCAATTTTTCTGTCAATTTCTGCCAATTTCACCTTATTTTTTATCCATTTATTTTTTGCTGACTCGTTGTAGCCTCGGCTGAATCGAAAATTCAGAAGTTTGGTCGT